TCATAGATCACGTGAAGGTGAGAAGAGTTCTTATCGACGGTGGAGCGTCGGCCAACATCTTATCGTTCTCAACCTACACGGCCCTAGGGTGGGAGAGGAAGCACTTGAAGCTCAGCCCGACGCCTTTGGTCGGTTTTGCAGGGGAGTCAGTTAGCGCGGAAAGATGTGTCTCGCTCCCTGTTACCATCAGCGAGGGAGATCAACAAGTAACTAAAGTCGCAGAATTTGTTGTGATAGATCGAAGCTCCGCGTACAACGCCATAATTGGTCGGCCTTTGATTCATGATCTCAGGGCAGTCCCGTCTACTTGCCACCAGGTCTCGAAGTATCCCACCTCGGCCGGAGTTGCGACAGTCCGGGGTGAGCAGAAGACGTCCAGCGAATGCTACGCCGCTGCGATGAAGGGAACATCCACTTGTGCGGTGGTCACGAGCGCGCTCAAGCCGTGTGCCGACGAACCAGAGCCGAGCCGTGGCACCTCAGCTGAAGAACTAGAACTTGTCCCCCTGCTGGGGCCAGAAAAGCAGGTCAGCATCGGCAGCAGACTGGGGGCCGAGGTGAGAGAGGAGCTCGTCGGTTTTCTGAAAGCAAATGCTGATGTGTTCGTGTGGTCCCATGACGATATGCCGGGCATAGACCCAAGTATAATGGTGCATAGGCTTAATGTAGATCCTAGTTATAGGCCTGTGAGGCAAAAGCGTCGGCCTGTTGACGCCGAGCGAAGTAATGTAATTTGTAAAGAAGTCGAGCAGTTGCTACGAGCTAAATTCATAAGAGAGGTTCATTACCCCGCGTGGTTGTCTAAAGTAGTTTTAGTTAAAAAGTCCAACGGCAAATGGCGCGTCTGCATTGACTTCACGAGCCTCAATAAGGCGTGTCCGAAAGACAGTTTCCCCCTGCCTCAGATAGATCAGCTTGTCGACGCAACGGCAGGGCATGAACTCCTCTCCTTCATGGATGCCTACTCCGAGTACAATAAGATTCGGATGCATGTGCCTGACCAAAAGCATACCGCCTTTGTTACCAACCGAGGGCTGTATTGCTACAACGTCATGCCCTTCGGTCTGAAGAATGCCGGGGCGACCTACCAGCGCATGGTCAACATGATGTTCGCCAAGCAGATGGACGCAACATGGAGGTATATGTAGACGACATGTTGGTAAAAAGTAAGCAGACGAGCTCCAACTTAGGCGACCTGACAGAGGCCTTCAACGTGCTTCGAAAGTATCAGATGAAGCTCAACCCGAGCAAGTGCGCCTTTAAGGTCTCGTCAAGAAAGTTCCTCGGGTTCATGGTCCACGAGCGCGGAATCGAAGTAAATCCAGACAAAATAAAAGCAGTCCTCGAGATGGAGGCACCGAAGAATATTAAGCAGCTACAGAGGTTGAATGGTCGATTGGCAGCCTTGAATCGCTTTGTATCTCGCTCCACTAACAAGTGCCACCCTTTCTTCCAAGTTCTAAGGAAAAAGGGTCGGTTCGAGTGGACCGACGATTGCGAAGCTGCACTTCGGCAGTTGAAGCAGTACCTCAGCTCAGCTCCCTTGTTGTCAAAGCCACTGCCTGGTGATGTACTCTACTTGTACCTAGCAGTGTCAGAAAATGCAGTGAGCTCAGTACTAGTCAGGGAGGCAGAAGGGCGGCAGAGCCCAGTCTACTACACAAGCAAATCGTTGACCGAGGCCGAGGCTCGATACCCCTATGTCGAAAAGCTGGCCCTGGCCTTGGTGACCTCGGCACGACGTCTACGACCGTACTTCCAGGCGCACAAAATAATCGTTCCGACAAACTTCCCCTTGAGGCAGATTTTCTACAAGCCCGAAACGTCGGGTCGCCTGATGAAGTGGGCACTAGAGCTCAGTGAGCACGACATCGCCTTTGAGCCGAGAACAGCGTTGAAAGGTCAGGCAGCCGCAGAATTTGTTGCCGAGCTGACCCCACCTAGGCCAGGGGGCGATGTCCATGACCAGTGGACACTCTATGTGGATGGTTCGTCCAATGAGAAAGGTTGTGGGGCAGACATGCTACTCCTCGGCCCCGGCAGTCTTCGGTTTGAGTACGCGCTCCGGTTTAGCTTCCGAGCTTCCAACAACGAAGCCGAGTACGAGGCATTGATAAATGGACTGAAGGTCGCCAGAGGGATGGGCGTGAGGCGACTTTTGATTCTCAGCGACTCCCAGCTTTGTCAATCAGGTTACCGAGGACTACCAAGTAAAGGAAGCTCGTATGGAGAGGTATCTGGCCAAAGCCCGAGGGCTCCTGGCCCAGTTTGAGGACTATGTGATTCGACAGGTGCCGAGGTCCGAAAATTCCAACGCCGACGCACTGGCTCTCCTGGCTTCGGCATACGAGACCGATCTACCAAGAACGGTTCCAGTTGAAATACTTGTTGAGTCGTCCATCGACCAGCCTGAGATAATGGATATCACGTCAGCTCGGCCTACATGGATGGACCCAATTAAGGACTTCCTGGTCAATGGCTCAATCCCCGCCGATCCGAGCCAAGCCAGAAAGCTCCGACGCCAAGCTGCTCACTACTTGATGCAAGAAGGCAAGCTCTTCAAAAGGGGATATTCCCTACCATTACTGCGGTGCCTCGACCCAGAAGAGGCGAGATATGTCATGCGCGAGATTCATGAAGGGGTTTGCGGAAACCATGGAGGAGCTCGGTCCATGGCCGCGAAGGTCGTCCGCCAGGGCTACTACTGGCCGACGATTGAGCGCGACACCAAGGAGTTCGCCAAAACATGCGACAAATGTCAACGCTTCGCGAGCATTTTGAGGCAACCCCCGGAAATGCTGACGCCGATCTCAAGCCCTTGGCCTTTCGCTCAGTGGGGGATAGATCTGATCGACCCACTACCGATGGGGAAAGGGCAGTTGAAGTTCGCCATAGTAGCTGTGGATTACTTCACCAAATGGGTGGAAGCGGAACCTTTGGCGTCTATTACCGAGGTGAAGGTCGTCAGCTTTGTATGGAAGAGCATAATATGTCGGTTCGGTATACCGAACGCCATCATTACTGACAATGGAAAGCAGTTTGACGGTGCCCGGTTTAATCAATTCTGTCAACAGCTCGGCATACGTCACCTCAGCTTGTCGCCTTCCCATCCGTAGTCTAATGGGCAAGTTGAAGCCATCAACAAGATCATTAAGCGTGGTCTGAAGACGAGGCTGGAGTCTCTGAAAGATCGGTGGGCATAAAAGTTACCAGAGGTATTGTGGTCTTACCGAACTCCACCCCGTCGATCTACTGGTGAGACGCCATACAGCCTAGCCTTCGGGTCGGAGGCTGTTGTCCCTGCGGAAGTCGGCATGCCAATGCCCTGAGTTGAGAATTTCGACGAGCAAGCCAACAGTGTAGCCCTACTCGTGAATCTTGACCTCCTCGAGGAGAAAAGATCTCACTCCCAGCATCGGCTAGCAGAATATCAGAACCGTATGGCTCGGTACTACAACGGCAGAGTAAAAGTCAGAGCGTTCAAGCCTGGCGACCTCGTCCTCAAGAAGGTAATGCAACATGTTGGAGCACTCGCGCCGAACTGGGAAGGCCCGTACAGAGTCTTAAAAGTACTCTGACCTGGAGCGTATTTGCTGTCTGACCTAAATGGGAGACAACTCCCTCACCCATGGAATGCCGAGCTTTGCGAGTTTATTATCAGTGAAATGTGTGTAATCCGACGTGTAAAAATTTCATTCATTAATGAAAGGTGATCTCCAATGACTTGTGCAAAATTTGACTTTATCCGTTAGCGTCGCCTACTACTACCGAGCTACGTCAAATGGGGGCCAAGGAAGACTACGTGGTATGACCTATGCTAAACGACCTACAATAATACAAATGTGCAAAGCAATGGTCAGCTCGTAAGAACCTGGTTATCCCAAATACGCACCGCAGAGCTGAAATGTTCGGCTCGTAAGCCGTTGTGTAAGTAAAATTACTAAGACTTGAAAAACTCAAACAACGAGACCAAAACCAAATTTAAAATTTAATTAAATTTCTTTAAGTATAAAGACCTCAGAGGGAACAACTAAGTTTAGGCGAAGCTTGTATCTCATTGAATTCAAAGTTTGATGAAGAGCCGAGCTATATATGCCTCGGCTCAGTACACTGATTGAATTTAAGAAAATAGTAAAGCAGGGGAAACAACCGAAGAAGGGGACGAGCTATTCTTGCGGGAGGTCGGCAGGGCTGCTAGTTCCAACGTCAGCATCGGCGACGACGACGGCCTCAGTAGCCCCAGCCTCCTTATCGACGTCAGTGGGGCGGTCGGCCCAGATAGACTCGTACTCCAGCTCGACGGCGGCAATGGCCTCCCTAGGGCAAGAGGTCTCGAGCTTGTTGAGGGCATAGAAGAAGCCCCTGTCCGCTAAATCGCGAGCTAGA